GACAGACAGACAGACAGACAGACAGACAGACAGACAGACAGACAGACAGACAGACAGACAGACAGACAGAGGGACGGACGGACGGACGGATGGATGGATGGATGGATGGATGGATGGATGGATGGATGGATGGATGGATGGATGGATGGATGGATGGATGGATGGATGGACGGACGGACGGACGGACGGATGAATGGATGGATGGATGGATGGATGAATGGATGGATGGATGGATGGATGGATGGATGGATGGATGGATGGATGGATGAATGGATAGATTATCCTGAAAGCGAAAATCAACCTACCCGACCCGGTCTATGATCATGCAGACATTTGTAGCGGGCCACATAGGCCTTTTCCATGGGCCACCAGTGGCCCGCGGCCCGTGGGTTGTAGAACACTGTGTTAGAAGACCCGGTTTGTCATCCGCCGGGTGCCCTATTTCCGCAGTCATGCAATTCCTGGATCATAACTTGGAGGCAGGCATGCAGCGGCGAAGAAATTATTGGGTGCACACATCCCTACTGACAAGCCTTACTTATGTGCATAGTAGTAATAATTATAATTGTTACTACTGGTATTATTCTGCTATGAGTGACAAATAAATATAATAATATGTTTTTTTTAAAAATCTATAAAAACATGCTTAAGAAAAAAACGTCTTTACATGGTTAAAAAAAAGGGTAAGGGAGGCATTTAGCCCTTGCAAATTTGTATCTACTGGAAGGCCGCCGCCAACTTTTTTTTTGGGAGGGGGGGGGGGGGCAGCCCCACTGTGCCTGAAACCGGGGCACCAACACGAAAAAAAAAAATACACACATCGGGACCACAGCCTTCCATGACACCCGCCCCGCGCCTCACACATTTGTATAGTTAGGGTGTGGGGGTGGGGGGGGGGGGGGGGAGCCAGGGTTGCTTGATCATACCTAACAATAATTATGGCTATCTTCCGAATAACGGTCCCAAATTATCGAGGCCGAAAATATACCCTAACAGGGCCTCAGTCACATGTAAATGTCGGACTTCCAGCAACTTAAAATGCGACTACCGCCAGCACTGAGTGTATCTCACACGCCGCTACGCGCGGCGTGGATTAAGGCTAAACTAGATGACTGGCACTCACGAGTAGCAGCTACCGCATCTCCTGCAGCTGCCTTTATTTTATTTGCTTGTGAGTCCCAGCCATCTAGTTTAGCCCCATTCACGCTGTTCGTAGTGGCGTGGGAGATATGCTCGGCGGTGGCGGAAGTTCGCAATTTACCTGTGACTGAGGCCCTGTTAGGGTATATTTTCGGCCTCGATTATTTGGGACCGTTAATCGGTAGATAGCCATAATAATAATAAAATTATTAATAATAATATGCATGATGGTAAAAAAATATAAGAATATACTTGAAATAACATGAAGTGTATAAACTAGTTCTTTTACTGAGAACTTCTATGCACGGTTAAAGGGTAGCGTAGCTAGCTAGACTTCCTGCTAAAATTATTGAGGGGGGGGGGGAGACTGAAGGGTCCCCACCCCCCCCCCACCCTCCAGGTCCCGCCGGCGTCCATGCTTACATGTGGACCTGAATGTTGGACAGGACTGGTTCGCCGGCGTCCATGCTTACATGTGGACCTGAATGTTAGACAGGACTGGTTCGCCGGCGTCCATGCTTACATGTGGACCTGAATGTTAGACAGGACTGGTTCGCCGGCGTCCATGCTTACATGTGGACCTGAATGTTAGACAGGACTGGTTCGCCGGCGTCCATGCTTACATGTGGACCTGAATGTTAGACAGGACTGGTTCGCCGGCGTCCATGCTTACATGTGGACCTGAATGTTGGACAGGACTGGTTCGCCGACACTCAAGACAATGTATTGGTGTCGGCACGCGTCTCCTTGGTGGGTGCTATTTGTTGTTTCCTTGTTCCGTGTACAGATATCAACTATGATCATGTTTAACATAGTTAAAGGTTAGTTAGTTGCGTATCCTTTACAGGACGTTGCTGAACCAACCCCAACAGCCCCTGGCTGTTGTGTGGTTTTTCTAGGCAAATTTACGTCCAGTAGTTTGTCATTGCTGTCTGGACGGTCAGCTTTATTGATACCACTGTCGAAACCAACGTAAGGCGCATGGCCCGCAGTTGGGATCGAACCCGGCATCCTGGCATTACGAAGCGTTCGCATCGACTTAGCCACAGAGCCGACCTTTAACATAGATACCAGTTAAATATTTCTATCCACATATTTATGTGCTGATGTAGCTTTGCGATGTCAGAGTTGCTGCTTTCCTTATTGATATTTATATTTACTAGCCTAAGAAAGATTTATCAAAGATTGAAAAAGATAGGGAAGAGAACAGATAGAAAATGCTAACAAGAAAATCAAGTTTATGTTAAATATCAAAAGCCACTTATAATAAACAAAAAGAAGACCTTGCGGCGATTAGCCTTCATCAGTAAAACAGTGACAAGAAAGAAAACACAACACACACAGATGAACTGATTTATCTCCACTATCATTTACAATAAATAGTAGTAATATCTCGATAGACATGTATCAGACTGGTAGTGACATACTCTTTTATCATTCCAATATTCCATGTTTTTATCAGCATCGTCATCAACATCATCATCATCACCTGGTATCTGATCTAGTTCAAATGACGTGTTGGCGTCCTCTCCTTCCCATGTGACATCACTACTTAGTTAATATGCTTTTGTAAATCCAAGCTGAATTCATCAAACAGGGATGGATTCTTTTACCAAGCGTCCATGAATGGCTAGCCTATAACCTCCATGTTTGTGCCGGGTCATGTAAGTGTTCGAGGCAACGAATGTACATATTATCTTGCAGACGCTGTAGGTGCTATGTCTGGCCCGTTACTGGACAGAAGCGATGTCATTAATGCCTCGCGCAGCACTTAAGGCAAAGACGAGTATGGCAATGGCCATGACTCCCTGTCTTGGAGAATCAGCGGTACACACATGTCGTAACTGTAACTGACTCACAGAGTATGTTGAGAAAGGGGGAGAATGGCATGCTTCGTGCAGAATGGCAAGCATCGCCTGAGAGGTTCTGGGTAGTTAGCGTCTTTTAGATATATTTTCCAGGTCATGCCGGTGTGTTGTGAAACGAGCAAGTAGATAGACTGGTCGGTTCTGCATCACCTGGTGGCTAATTGATGTATGATAAGCTAGATTTACGTGCCCTTTGAGGGCGAGTGGACAATGTGGAGGCATACATAGATCATTACAGTCGGAGGAGAATGGCGCTGCCAGGAGCTAACAGACAGTTACTGGTGCTATGGGAATTGAAACTCATCGCTTGCTGCTGAAGATGGGACAGAGTGTTTATGCGAGTGTCCCGATGTAGCAGACGGGAGGTCTGGATTCTTTCTCCCAAGTGGTGCATTTACACTGGATCCTCGGCTGGCAGTGTCTTTTAGAGAAAGAACCGTTAGAGGATTGTTTCTGCACATCACGTGAGTGTATCTGCGCGATCGGGCATAAGTCCACTGAAGCAGCCACCTCGTACATAGTTCGCATGGTGTATTGTCCAAACGACTACCGTTGTGAGGTATTTGGCAGACAGTAGTGAACATGCCGGTGAGTCATTGATCATTAACTCATCTTCGTCGCCATGTGTTGGTCCACAGGAAAGAGACTGTTCGCACTACAAGATCCTACTTGGCGTGATGTATTATATTACAGAACTCGTAGACGATGTTAATGTTTACGATACGGCATGTTACTTGTGGCTGGGTTATTGTGGTGCCCCCTGTTGAGTTAGCCCTCCTTTACTCCAGTCATAATCACCATCAGCATGTGCCGTGTCGATGAGAGTGGGCGGCCATGTGTGTTATGTGTAGAGGAGTGACATTTATAAATGTATCCCCTAATTACTTGATAAGCGGCATGCTACACTGATGATCAAAAGATTGAATCCCCATCAATAGGGGATTTTGTAAACTGACCTTGGTTAAAAGGGTAGGTTTTGCCTACAAAAGATCCTAGCAAATATTATGGAATGTTTGCGTTCGCCGGCTGTGAACTCTGGCGGAAAGTCCTGGTTTGTTCGTCTCTCTGGACTTTGGCCCTGTGTCAGTTTTGCGTGCCGATCCGTTTACTGACTTATTTGTGTGCAGCATGTTCCTTGTCTCTCGGGCAGATGTACTCCAACTTCAGAGGAAGTTGTGCCAAGTAAAGGCACGTAATTCATCCCAAGCACATAACAAGTACCAAATGGCTGGTAACAATAGGGCTAAAACAATATAAACAAAAAGCAGCCGGGCGAAACATATGGTAAGTCACAACACATCCACTAGAGATAATTGTCCCATAGCGGGTACTGTCATGGCTACCAGCGTTAGGTCTTTACATGTGTTAGGTACAGACAAATTAGTTTGGGTGACCGGTTCCCCTTTCCTAGACGATTCCCACCCAGACAATTCCGACCAAGACAATTCCTACCCAGACAATTCCCACCCAGACAATTCCGACCCAGACAATTCTGACCCAGACAATTCCTACCCAGACAATTCCTACCCAGACAATTCCTACCCAGACAATTCCCACCCAGACAATTCCGACCCAGACAATTCCTACCCAGACAATTCCCACCCAGACAATTCCTACCCAGACAATTCCCACCCAGACAATTCCTACCCAGACAATTCCCACCCAGACAACTCCTACCCAGACAATTACCACCCGGACAATTACCACCCAGACAATTCCTACCCAGACAATTCCCACCCAGACAATTCCCACCCAGACAATTCCCACCCAGACAATTCCCACCCAGACAATTCCCATCCAGACAAATCTAGAAGAACAAGGAAGAGAAGAAGAAAAAGAGGAAGAAGAAGAAGAAGAAAGGAGCAGTGAAAGCAAAGATATATTGCAAACACCCTAAACTTGTTTCTACTTAGCATTCTTGTTCAGTTCATCCTTTTCCACCAGAGAACGTGGAGGTAGCTTTATCCCTTCCTCTTCTACACTAACAAGTAGATGTTCCTCGCAGAATTGCTGCTGAGACGGATCACGGGAGAAAGAGTTCCGGAGAGTCATAGTAGTAGGTAGGTCTGCTATCCACATAAATGTACTGTCAGCACTGTCATGGTACTTATATACCTAACTACCTGAGTATATTACTAGCATAGTACCTCTACCTTCCCTATGTTGGTTCCGAAGCCCCTTTTGGAAAAAGGTGGGGGGTTGGATTACACCCACTGCCCCCTAACAAGTATGCCGTAAAAGGCGACTAATTTGGGGTGTTCCCTTTGAAGTCGTAGTGCATCTGCCTGAGAGTTGGGGAACCAAAAGTCTGCATAGAAATACATCAGATATGTAAAACGGATGTCACACAAAAATGGAGTTCTTGAAGAGAAGTAAAGTCTAGAAAAGTAGATGAACAGTCAGAACTTTCCACTGGAGTTTATAACAGGTAAACAGTCGGAACTTTCCACTGGAGTTTATAACAGGTAAACAGTCGGAACTTTCTACTGGAGTTTACAACCGAAGAAGAAGAAAAGGAAACACCCCCTACCACGGTACCTCACTGTCACATAACCTCACTAAAATAGTACCTTATTAGATACTACAACAGCAACTCATTAACACAGTATCTGACAACAACAGTTTCTCAATACTATGATACCTCATTACTATAGTACCACACTAACCCAGTCTCTCAATACCACATAGCCGCACTAACGTAATACCTCAATACCATGATATCTGACTACTATAGTACCACACTGACCCAGTCTCTCACTACCACATAGCCGCACTAACGTAATACCTCAATACCATGATATCTGACTACTATAGTATCACACTGACCCAGTCTCTCAATACCACATAGCCGCACTAACGTAATACCTCAATACCATGATATCTGACTACTATAGTATCACACTGACCCAGTCTCTCAATACCACCTAGCCGCACTAACGTAATACCTCAATACCATGATATCTGACTACTATAGTACCACACTAACCCAGTCTCTCACTACCACATAGCCGCACTAACGTAATACCTCAATACCATGATATCTGACTACTATAGTACCACACTGACCCAGTCTCTCACTACCACATAGCCGCACTAACGTAATACCTCAATACCATGATATCTGACTACTGTAGAACCACACTAACCCAGTCTCTCACTACCACACAGCCTCAATAACGTAATACCTCAATACCATGATATTTGACTACTGTAGAACCACACTAACCCAGTCTCTCACTACCACACAGCCTCAATAACGTAATACCTCAATACCATGATATCTGACTACTGTAGAACCACACTAACCCAGTCTCTCACTACCACACAGCCTCAATAACGTAATACCTCAATACCATGATATCTGACTGCTGTAGAACCACACTGACCCAGTCTCTCACTACCACATATTCGCACTAACGTAATACCTCAATACCATGATATTTGACTACTATAGTACCACACTGACCCAGTCTCTCACTACCACATAGCCGCACTAACGTAATACCTCAATACCATGATATCTGACTACTGTAGAACCACACTAACCCAGTCTCTCACTACCACATAGCCGCACTAACGTAATACCTCAATACCATGATATTTGACTACTATAGTACCACACTAACCCAGTCTCTCACTACCACATATTCGCACTAACGTAATACCTCAATACCATGATATCTGATTACTATAGTATCACACTAACCCAGTCTCTCACTACCACACAGCCGCACTAACGTAATACCTCAATACCATGATATTTGACTACTATAGTACCACACTAACCCAGTCTCTCACTACCACATAGTCGCACTAACGTAATACCTCAATACCATGATATCTGACTACTATAGTACCTCACTGACCCAGTCTCTCACTACCACATAGCCGCACTAACGTAATACCTCAATACCATGATATCTGATTACTATAATACCACACTAACCCAGTCTCTCACTACCACATAGCCCCACTAACGTAATACCTCAATACCACGATAGCTCATCACCAAAGTAATTCCTTTAACAACATACAGTAGAACCCCAGTATTTGTGCACGCTAATGGTAATCGTTTTCCTCTTTTTAATTCGTTCTGTTGTTCGTTGACATGTGTGCTTGATATTTGTGCGAAAAGTCAGTATTCGTCCATCCTCCGTCTTGGCCAGTGAGTCATCAGAAAAGGAAAAAGAAAATGATAGGCCGGTTCCAAATGCTGAAATTAAGGTTGTCCATTTAGACAAAAATGCATATTTTTAATTGAGGAAATGGTAAACATCGTTAAAGTTGTAACTAATTTCTTTTAAAAAAATGAAAATAAAAAAATAAATAAAAAACGAGTGCTAGTGATACGTCCGGAAATGCTGATGAATTATACTGGACACAAATCACGAAGTGACATTACCTGATGTCATATTGGAAGCCCCCCCCCCCCCCCCCCCCCCCCACTCCCTCTTCCTAACAATAGCCATTGTGTGTTGTTTTGTTTTCAAATCAAACAGGTAAATGTCTTGTTAAAATTATATTTATCTATTTATATAGACATACCATACAATATTTTTACGTCATCGGGACAAGAAAATATATGTTGTAATAATGTATTACAAGCAAAACCTAATGGGGATGTTTTGTAAAGGAAGGAGGAGATAGCTATGAAGGAAATCTACTCCTTGAATCTTTCTCTACTCCAAGCCTAGAAGAGCTCCTCCAAATATAGTCCTGGTGAGTGAAAGACAACCCACACACTTAAGCTGCCAGGGAACAGCATCAACCATTTTTAGTTATGGGGGAAACCCGTTTGCTATTGGTCTTTTTTAATACCCCCCCCCCCCCCTCCCCCAGCAACGGATTAATGACGAATATTAGAGTTCATTACGACAGTATCTAACTACCACAGTGCTGCAATACCTCTGTATTTCCGGACCACGGTGCTGCAGTAATATGGTACAATACTACAATGTGTGTGTTTTTCCCCCTATCTGTAGTAACACCTTTAGTTTTATTCTAATTTTTCCTACAACTGGAATATGCTCACTTAAGCAGTCTGCTCCTGGTCTAGTTTTTGCTCCAACTAAGCTGCTCCTGAATCTTCCTGAAATCAAAATATAATCAATCTGATTGCGGACATTATCGTCAGGACTTTTCCAAGTCCACAATCTTCGAGAATGGTGTTTAAACCAGGTGTTACCTATTATCATGCTGCGTGACTCAGCCCATGCTAATACTCTGTCACCCCTCATATTCTTTTCTCCTAGGCCATAGCCACCCGTTATTCCGTACACTTTTTCACTTCCTATTTTCGCGTTGAAATCTCCAAGTACCATTGTTACTTCACAACTTTTGCATTGATTAACAGCCATGTCTAACTCGTCATAAAATGCGTCAATATTTTCCTCTGAACTGCTGTTGGGGCATAAATCTGTACTAAGTTTGTTGTCAAACGGTCTGCCGCGAAGTTTTACTAATAGTACTCTATCTGATATTGTCCAAAATCCTTTCACAGTTTTTGAGTTCTTTGGATGTGTACTGTCACCTGATTTGTTTTCAATATACAGTGAATAAATAATTAGATCTGTAATTGATATGCCCGGAATTGTGGTTGGTGAGCAAAATATAAACAATTAACGTTATGCTGATGACACAGTCTTTATAGCAACAAGTCAGAAAGAACTATAGGAAATGATAGACATTGTGGTATTAGAAAGTGGAAGAATGGGACTCAGTTTGAATAATGGGAAGACAGAAGTAATGGTGGTATCAAAGATTATTCCTAAATGTGTAATAAAAGTCTATGGTGTTATTTTGGGACAAGTACAGAAATTTAAGTATCTGGGCACATGGATAACATCAGATGGAAGATGCATAACTGAGATAAGAAACAGAACAGGACAGGCAAAAACTGCATTTTATAAAATGAAAAACATCTTGTGCAATATATCCTTGTCATTGAGAGTTAGAAAAAGAATTCTTGCTTGCTACATACATCAAGTTTTAACATATGGCTGTGAATCATGGACAATCGCTAGGCAGGCCAAACAATTTCTATAGGCATCAGAGATGTGGTTTTACAGAAGAATGCTTAGAATACCTTGGACAGCCAAAAAGAGTAACCAAGAGGTTTTGAAAAAGGCGGGAGCCCGAGGACAACTTATCACGGACATCAGAAGGAGACAGTTAACATTTTTGGGCCATGTTGTGACCACTGGAAAGATCTGTGGAAGGAGGGGTAGAGGAAGACAACGAGAGAAGATGCCTGACAGTCTTGTTGCATGACATGGAGTTGTTTCGGCACACGAACTGATACATGCTGCAGAAGATCGCAGATTATGGAGAGGCATGATCGCCCACGGCAGTCGGCAGGGCACCTGGTGATGATGATGAGTAACACCTATCTACTATTTTGGTTTTATTTCTTGATACCATGACGTGATCTGCATGTAATAATAAAGAATAGGTCGACTTAGCGCGTTAGTTGAGAGTCTATGCTTCAATGAGGGCGGTTGGGGGGGGGGGGGCGGGGTGAGGATAAAGCCTGGAACACGCTAACTTGTCTCCGCATACTTGAAAATGAGAGGGGAACAAGTATGATGCTTGGTATGATGTATGCGAATCGTTATCATCACCCGATAAAGATTACCGCTCTGATAAGCATTTGGTAACGGCGACAGATAAGGGACAAGGGCGGACAAGGGCAGATGTCGCAGTCTAGTTATAAACCACAAAACAACATGCAAACCATCCTTTAAAGGGTGAGCGGAAAAGAAGAAGAAGCAGAGGTAGAAGATGAATAATAATAATAATAATAAGAAGAAGAAGAAGAAGAAGAAGAAGAAGAAGAAGAAGAAGAAGAAGAAGAAGAAGAAGAAGAAGAAGAAGAAGAAGAAGAAGAAGAAGAAGAAAACACGGACAAGTGTGGTGCCTGAAATAGTAAATGAACCATTGTCCTCATATAAAAATAAGAATGCGAATAATTTGCGGAAAGAAGCTAGCAGACGGCCGGAAATGGGGTTAGCGAGGTCACGTCTGCTTGCGTACACATCCCGACAAGACGCGGGCGTCTGGA